CAGGTGGGCGGTGTGTGTGTGTGTGTGTGTGTGTGTGTGCATGTGTCTTTGCATGTGACTCACTGGGGGTGGGGGAGGTGTGTGTGTGTGTGTGTGTGTGTGTGTGTATGTGTGTGTGGCTGACTCTTTTCTCGTCTGTGTGAGATAACCTGAAGCAAGTGGTACGCATTGCAATCATAAGGTACGTCAGCATATATCTCACTTGTTGTATGTTTGTGCGAACAGGAATGATCTTTTTTAGACGTGCACCTACCTAAACCAGCATATATCTCACGATGTGCCAAATAATCACTGTGCAGTGTGTACCTTGGAATGCAGCAGGTCCTGTAGACGCAGCAGGTGCTTCACATGCACAACGTGATGCACCCTGAGGATCTGCTGCACATGGTGCAGGTGCTGCAGATGCAGCAGGCAGCAGCAAACTAAAAAGGTAAGTTTTTTCTCACCCGCCCAAACCAACCCCCCCCCCCTGCCCCCCACCCCACAATCCCCAGTACCAATTAGTTCACAAAAACACTCTGTTTCATGTTAAATTTGGTGTGGGGGGTCCCCTAAACCAGCGCAAGACAACCTTTTTTTTTTTTTTTTTTTTTTGACCTTTTGCCCCCCCCAAAAAGCCGTCGTCCGAAAATCCGGACGACTCGGACCTCAGACGTCCGGGGGAGACGTCCGGGGGAGACGTCCGGGGGAGACGTCCGGTCCCCGGACGGTTGGTAACCTAGAAAAGAACTACGTTCCTATTTCATGAAAAGTTTGATAGGGCCTAGAAGGGTTCAAAGGGAATAAGACAGGGAATAAAGGGGTTTAGAAGGAGGATGCTTAATTCATTCTATAATTTTTTATCTAAATATTATTTTCTTGTTCTGTTTTATTTTTTATCTTCATATCTGTTTAATAATCAAAGATGGCATCAAACCAAAAGTTGTATTTCCAGATTGTTTTGAATTTTATTTTATTTTCTGCAAAAAAAATCATTTTGCGCAGGGCCGGATTTTCCATATCCGGAATTAATCCTGAAATTTCATCCGGATTGAAAATTCCGGATAAAATTGGTTTGCCGGATATCTGGATTTGCTACTTAGACAATAACTATATCAGGGTCAACTCTCTTCTTTGAAGAAAGACCCCGCAATGATTTGGTAGAGATGACGGGGATAGGCACTATAGGTGTCTTGCTTCCTGACGGTAAGAAAATCCCAACATTCCGACTCTTTACCGTCGCCTTTACCTCGTCCTCGTCCAACGGCGTTCGTCTGACCTCCAAGTCCTCCTCCTCCGAAGGAAATACGGGTGCATCCGTTAGACTGTCGGTTCTCTTGAAGTATTGTCGGTCCTCAAGTCTCCCTGCGCTATAGTCTATTGCCTTTTGAAGATCGGGGCAATCTCTCCCGATATGGTCATCCGAACAACAATAGACGCATGTGTTACGAGGAGAAGAAGGTTCATCCTCTACACGTCTATGTCCCCCATGTCTACGTAATACCCGAGTATTCTGAGGACGTGGACCAGGCTCACGTTGTCCCCTGGCATCATCATGATGGTCCCGATCAATATCTCTCCTCTCGTACCACTCGCGGGAATTATCGTGTCGGTCTCTTGCCGTCACATGGTCAGACCTATCTAGACTCTTAGGATACTCCTCTTCATCCCGGAGGTCTTCAGGACCTCGATCATATCTCGGGATGTGAGGGTAGGTCTCCACGCGACCATGTCGTCGATACTCGTTGTCCCTATCTCTCGTACAGTCTCTAGGATAGGCAACATGTCGATCTCGATCCTCGTCCTTGTACCTAGGGGAATCGTCACAATGTATATGATATTGTTGCTCCCTCGTTCGATAATCGGCTAGTGTACGAAGGTTTATATCCTTCGCGTCTCTCCACGATTCTGGGTTTCGATTATCCCACCTCAGCGAGTACGCTGAACCAGTCCTAACCCGATCGCACCTCAGCGAGTTTGACAGTTCGTTCCTCGCCTGATAACTGACAATCTCTGTTTTTGCTTCTATCCCGGCGACCGGTCATGCCAAGCCCTTGATCATCTCTCTTAGGTCCGAATTGTCTATGATGTTTGTTCGCCGCTCTCTAGGTTCATCAAGGAGGTATCGGTGGTCTTCCCAAGGCTTATCATCAAAATTTGGGCACCTCTCCCCACCAGAAGAACGAAAAACCGACCGCAGGCTCTCCCTGCGGTGCAATCTAGTCCAGACTAGGTCTTTATACTCGTATGTGTCGGTCGGTATGGCCAACCTAAGGATCGTAGCAAACTCGAGTCCATCGTTCGGAAGGTCTCTTAGAATCTCCTTTTGTTTTTCCGTCGATAATCGACTGATAAAAAAGGTGCACCTGCCAACCTCAGATAACTTCCCCTTTGCCACCAGCACATCCGACATCTTTTCGAACCTCCTCCCGAACGTCATAACACTTTCATCCTCTTCCTGACTCATCTTCTTCACGTCTTTGATAGAGTACCTAATATCATCGTACTCGAAGAGCTGATATAAATCTTCCTTGTAAGTCTTCCAGCGTCGGTCCCTCGACCTCGCATTCTTTATCTCCTTGCCTAAACTCGGGTCGGAGTTGAATAAAAAGTTGTCGATAATCTCATCCTCTGTCCACCAACTATGATACGCGTGTCGCTCCCACTTCTCTAAGTTATCTGAAATTTCATACCCTCTGAAGATGGGAGACCCGGTATCAAGCTCTGGGGGTTGACACAATATAATATATCTGTCTCGCCTCTCATAGGGTAGAGTATAAGACTCCCCAGTCTCCGCATCGAAGAAGCATCGAGGCTGACTGTCATATCTGTCTGTCTCTATCGCATCTATTCTCTCTCTCGTACCGATCTCGCTAATGATCTCTGCGATGATTATCTCTCATCTCCTTACACCTCTGATTAGACAATAGCGGCAACACTCCCCCCCTCGGTCTATCAAAATTGACTTCATCCTGCGCCTCTCTCGCACAACAGTCACTTACTGGGTCGAACTAATGGTCTGAGATATGTCAGCCACTTCCGGCTTCCCATCGTCGTTCAAACTGTCACAAGACAGTGGAGTCTGTCTAAAGCATTCCTTAAGCTCGCGAAGAGTTCGACCGGATGAGGGGTGATACTCTCTCGTATCTACCTGAACTCCCATGGTGTCGGATTCCATACTTAGTGTAAGTAGCTCCTTTGGAGCCCGGACCTAATGAATAAGCCCAGGTAGGACCGTCTAACAATCCTCAGAGCTATAAGTTTGTATTCCACACCTAACGAACGTTAAACTAGCTAGAATCACCCATCCAACCCGTACCTATGATGAACTACTTCCTCATGTCCACAACCTACTGGATCTGTCGGCATAGTCCGAGATGCCATTTCATACATCACGGTAAGATAAAGCCTTGACCTGATATGAGAGTCGTCAAAAAGAGCTAGCAGCTGGATCTCTTCGATTTTTCTCCCTCCTTAAACTTAATCTCTAGCGGGGGATAAATCAAGTAATTTCAGTCCGGATCCTAGCCCGGACCTAATGATTTAGTCGGACTAAAACACTTATAACTGTATTGGGTGGGCATGATGGGAAACTCCTCTAACTACCGACTATCGTATGAGAGAAGGACGGTTCAGAATAGTCCGAAATAGGCAAGCGAGAGAATATTAAGAGACATTGGTAGAGAGAAGTATAGAAAGGACTAGGAAAGAGGCGTCAAGGTGGCCTAACACCAAGCTCAGAGAGTTATATATAATCTGGATATTAAACTGTTCGGGGCGACTAAGCCTTGTTCTAAGATGAACGGCTTAGTCATATGCCCAAAAGGAAGAGAGAAATAGTTGTGCAACCTGTTCGTGTACACTCAATGGCTGAGTCAGGCAAGTTCCATAAGATTGGACGACTTGACTTTATGCCCTATGTAAGCTGGGTATAAGGGATTAAAGCATCGAGAGATTATGAACTATTGTTTACAAAGTTTGACTTGGGGTGACGAGAGTACTTACCTTTGTGGGTTGGCCTGCATGAGACTGAGTGAGGCTACTACTTGGTTTGAGTGTCAGATTGACAGGTAGTTGCTTTACAGGCTCGCCTCGTGCTAGAGCGATAGAAGTTAGGTCAATTCCTGCATTTTCTGAGCTAAGTTTTTTTTATTTAGATCAATTTTTGCATTTTCTGAGATCGTTTGTTATACTTGGCTTTGTATAAATCTTGGTAAGCTATTTTCCCTACGGGAAGCGCTGCCGAAATTTTTACAAATCCAGGGAGTTAGTCAATTGTTGACTTGTCAAAGTTCAACTTGCCTTTTCTTCATATCCGACCTAGTAAAAATATGGAAAGTCTCATTATCTAAAGGGAGTGTTGCCCAAATTTTTGCTAAGTCAGGGAGTTAGACAAAATTGGACTTTGGGAAGTCAAAGGCTATTTCTGTTTTCATATTCGGACGGATACAAATTCTGAAAAGACACTTTTCCTACGGGAAGCGCTGCCGAAATTTTCTTGGTTTAGAGGAGTTAGATTATATTTTGATAGGTGGCGATTCTGGCGATCCACCCTGAATAGGGGAGATC